ATAACTATAACTTAAGACAATAAAAATTAAAGAAATTATTCAAATAGAAACATTTGTAAATTTCAAAATATTGTTATTATGTTTTTATTCCTAAATAAATAGGATAATTATTGCCATGTTTTTACATTATCATGCTTTAAATATGATACGAAGTATTATTTTTCAAGCTTCCCAGTAAATACTTCTATTTAGAAAAAAAATAGCACTCCTTATTGAAATTTTAAAACGTTTTTACTCATGTTTTGAAAATATTCCTAAGAATTGCAAAAGGAAAGGAAAAATGCTTTGTAAATGTTACTCCATTGCGATACATAGTTTATGTTGTTGAGTTATATGTTACTTTTAGGATGTTTTCTTTTGGACTGAAATTTGCTGGTCTGGTCTGGTCTGGTCTGGTCTGTTTAAGTCTGGTATGGTCTGGTCTGGTCTGGTCTGAACTGGTCTGGTCTGGTCTGGTAAACGTCTGGTCTCTATGTATTTTATAACTACGGAAGTCTGGTCTGGTCTGGTCTGTTTAAGTCTGGTCTGGTCTGGTCTGGTCTGGTCTGGTTTGTTTAAGTCTGGTCTGGTCTGGTCTGGTCTGGTCTGGGACTGAAAACAGTCCAAAAGAAAACATCCTTAATCCATTGAGTCTTCAACTATTGTGTCAATTTTTGTTACTCGATTTTGATCTTATCAACTATTAATCTTTTTAATATTGTGATCATATACTTTAGGACGTGTTTACTTCGCAGCTAAAGCCGCAATTAGGTTAGTAAGACAGGTGAAGTAAACATTTAAAAAACTGCTTACTAACTGAAAAAGCTACTTAAAGTGTCATTTACTCATAAGCATATCACTCTCCCATGTATTAATTAAGCGACAATTTAAGCTTTTTCAGTATCCGAACTTATCCTTACCCTTGCCACTTTCATTACCCTATTATTACCCTCTACCCACCCCCGCTACCCTACCGTACCCCTACCCCACCCGACCCGACCCCATACTCCTTAATTTCCTTATCGTACCATGACCCTACCCCTTCACCCCTACCACCTGCCCCTACCTCGACCCCACCCCCACCCGTACCCCTTATCCTACCCCGATCCTACCCCCTTAACCACTACCACTACCACCTGCCCCTACCTCAATCCCACCCCGACCTCGACCCCACCCCTACCACCCACTACATAGCCCCTCCTACCCCCCTAACCATATCCCTCCCCACCCATACCCCTCACCCTACCTTACCCTACCCCGATCCCCGACCCTTTTACCCCCTACCACCTGTCTCTACCTCGACCCTGGCCCCACCCCCTAACAAGTAGGGTAGAGTAGGGGTTAGATGGGTATGCGAGTTGGTAGGGGAGTAGGGGTCGAGGGTAAGGTCATGGTAGGGGTAGTGGTAGGGGTAGGGGTCAAGAGGTGGGATGTAGGGTAGGGACTGGGGTAGGGGTACATGTATAGGGTAGCGGGGGGTAGGGGTTACAGGTACGAGGTGGCCCCCAAGTATTATATTATATACTTGTGTTCATGAATATTTATGTGTCTGTGTATGTATAAGGTTATTGTGGATATTTTAATGTTAAACAATGTTTTAAATCATTTGAAGTAAACATGAGTTTACCACACTGTTTATTTTATGCGTCGCTTATTAACGCGAGTCCTAATAAGCACTGTGTAGTAATATGTGAGGTAAACGTGACCTTAATCTTCGAGTTTGAAATTTACCACATTTAATCCCTTGAGTTTGATCAAATTCACGCCTTTAATTCTTACATTGATTTTTCCACTATATGCGAAAGATTAAACAATGTCACCATGTTAGTAGTTGAAAGATAAAAAAAAACGTCACCTTAAAAAAATTGAGAGAAAATGGAAACTAATGATCTAACCTTTTAGCGGTCTTCTTACAATAGTCTCACTTTTTCATTATTCAGGAATAATCCAACCTGTGCACCCCATCTTCATTGAATGGTCCCTAACCGATTGATGATCTGTTATTTCCAAGTTATTTTCTTATCTTTGCAAAACATTATGTGAACATAAGGTGAGATTTATGGTACTCCCTCCGTCCCAAAATTAACTTCTCACTTTCCTTTTCGGGCAGTCCCGAAATTAATTTCACACTTCAAAACTTTCCTTATTTGGCAAATAATCTACATCAAAAAAGTGCTAAACAGTGTCAAACAGTGTCAACCGGTGTTTAAACAGTGCAAAACAGTGCACTCAACAGTAAAGTCAAATTTATTTTCTTAATTTGTGTGAAGTCAAACTGAGAAGTTCATTATGGGACGGAGGGAGTATAAAATTTTACAAAGATAAGAAAATAACTTGGAATAGCAGATCATGAACCGGTCAGAGACCATTGAATGAAGATGGGGTGCAAAGGTTGGATTATTCCTGAATAATGAAAATGTGGGACTATTGTAAGAATACCGCCAAAAGGTTGGATTATTAGTTTCCATTTTCCCAAAAAATGAAGGACTAAATATGGAAACTAATGATCCAACCTTTTACCGGTCTTCTTACAATAGTCCCACCTTTTCATTATTCAGGAATAATCCAACTTTTGCACCCCATCTTCATTCAATGGTCTCTAACCGGTTGATGATTTGTTATTCCAAGTTATTTTCTTATCTTTGCAAAACATTATGTGACCATAAAGTGGGATTTATTGTATAAAATTTTACAAAGATAAGAAAATAACTTGAAACAGCGGGTCATCAACCGGTCAGAGACCATTGAATGAAGATGAGGTGCGAAGGTTGGATTATTCCTGAATAATGAAAAGGTGAGACTATTGTAAGAATACCGCCAAAAGGTTGGATTATTAGTTTCCATTTTCCCAAAAAATGAAGGACTAAATATGGAAAGTTCAAATGACGATGAGTAAGAAAATTGTTTCTCACACAATAATAGGACTAGAAATGAAAATTTCAAAGTTCTATATTAAGAATGTCATGAACAAAATAGTTAGAGGACTATGGGTGATAAGAACTCTTATTTTGTTTATGTACTAGACTCAATACTCGTGCGATGCACGGGATATATTTAGAATATAGTAACAATTTTTTTTAATATTATGCTTTATAATGATGGTATTTATATGTGATGTGTTATTTTTCCAAATAAAAAACATAGTAGAATTTATATGTTGTAAATTTGATTATATAATATAAGCTTATAAGAAAAGAAAAATTAGATCGTGCGAAAAAAAATTAAAAAAATTCTACACACTTTTTAGTTGTAGGTTCCCGCTTGTAGTTATTTCCAAAAAAACTAAGACAATATTGGTGCATAGTATGCTTTTGCGACATCGATCTATTCATAGCAACCAACAAAATGCTGATAACATAAGCACATGCTTCTTGTAAAAGTTGTCCGATTTATGAAATTAGAGTTCTTTTAACAGTCATGTATCCTATTTTTTGTAAGAAAAATTAATGTAAACTTAGTTCCAAAAATATGATAATTTAATCATGGAATTGCATTACAAATAATAAATTTAAAATGAATTAGAATTACTTGATGATTCAGTAGGATCATCCAAGGCATCGATATTTTTCGATTTCTTATATTGTGTAATATGCAAAATCTGAATTATACAAATATAAACTTTCCATTGAATAGATTCGGGCTTGATTTCGTCTGGATGCACTGTTAACCGACTGATTTGGCTGAAATTACTGTATAAAACCATTTTTTGTCTATTTATCATATATTATATACTGTAATTTATTAAAAAAAATCTTTTATGTATTATTTTTTCATAACGAAGCGGAATGAGGCACTTCAGGCAGAAATTTAGAAAATTCAGCAGAATCTGTCGATTCAGCCAATTTCAGTGTTACCAATCGGCTCTTTATGTGGTGAATTGAAATCTTGTGTTGCTACTTATATGGGCAAACTATTTAGGTTTTAGCTACTACACTTAAAATTGCTGCAGTGACTATTTTTGGTCAAAACTTAGACATATTTTTTTGGACACAAAAATGCAGGATTCACCTAATGTATGAATTTCTTTTTGGGATAATGGTCGAATTTCACACTATGATTATAGGTGAATCTCATTTTGGGCACAAAACGTTTCAAATTGACCAAATTGGACACTATGGTTACATGTGTATCTCATATTTACTTTCCTTTTATCTTTATATGCATTGGATAGGAAAATTGAGGCAAAAGATTGTAACTTTTTTACTTATTACGGAGTATTATTATTATTATTATTATTATTATTATTATTATTATTATTATTATTATTATTATTATTATTATTATTATTACTATTGTTATTATTATTATTTATGTTAGTGTTGTAGTAGTAAATAATTATTGATTTTAATACATTAAAACAAATTAATATTTAAAACTTTAAATATGGCAAGTACTTCTATGCTATTAACCATCTTTTCATTTTGCAAAGCATTGGGCGGCACTTTATAAACTTGCAGTGTATGAATGCATTTGTGACAAATAAATTTGGTAACAACAAATTTTACATGTACGATGTATTAACAGTATTAATGTACAACTTTACTTTACATATTTATTTGTTACTTTTTGGGCGGGAATTTTCCCTCCAACTGTTGTGCAAAGACTGTTACTTTATATTATACAAAGATATTTAAAACTGAATTAATTAAATACAATAAATATGACCGAAATACACAAATACTTAGGGAGTGTTTGCAATTGCTTCAACTTTAAAAAAGTGATTTTTTAAAGTGATTTTGGGAAATATGATTAATAGTAAAAGTTGGTAGTGTTTGAGAAAAAAGTGATTCTGAAAAAGTAAAAGTTGGTAGTGTTTGGTAAAATAAGTACTTTTTGTGTAATAGAAAAAGTGAAAAGCAGTTTAAAGCACCCTTCCACCTGCTTCCAGCTTTTAGCTTTTAAGTCATTAATTTAAGCAGAAGCTGTCATTTGAAAACACTCTTTTTAGCTTTTTTTAAGCCAAAAGCTGAAAAGCACTTTTTTAAAGCAACCGCAAACACCGCTTTAGTTGATTGCTAATAGCCAAATACAGTACCCTTCATAGAGTATGCGCTTCCGAAACATCAGTTTTACTTATTTTGTTCGAGAATATAACAGCGTACCGGCCAAAACGGGGTCCGGCCATCTCCTCTCTGCACCGTCCTGTATCAAATCACTACGGCGACGTTAAACATCAACAGTTCAGGCTTCCGGCGTTTCCGAATCCGATCCGGGAGCTACTCCGGTCCTTGGTTGAGTCTGGCAGATCGGATAAACTGTCACTGAGACGATTCTGCGGTATTTTACAGTGGTGCTTGGGTACAAGGTAGGCAAGAATGAGTGTGAGCCACGCGTCGGTGCATCCGGTTGAAACTCCGCCGCTTCAGACAGAGGCGGCGAATGTTCCTAGAGTGAGGATGAAGGACATCCAAGGGATGCCAGGCACGATCAGCGGCCTCTTCCTGCGTTTCTCTCAATTCGTCTTTGCTTCCGTCGCTCTTTCAGTCATGGCATCCACCAACGATTTCTCGTCCGTCACTGCTTTCTGGTAACTCCTTAATTTCGTGTGCCCATTTTATCAATCACTACGTCTATGTAGATCTATGATGCTTGCTTCGTTCCACCAAAGCACAATTGGCTTTATACTTGGAGCAGTATCTTTTGTGAATTCTCAGTAAAGATATGATAGAACTGCATTGTAGGACTATATGAGTAAAGTGTCTTAATCGGTACTTAGAATTTGAACACCCTCTCATGAACTGAGAATGCAAATGTCATTAAATTTATGTAGGCCTTCATATAAATGTAACACCATGTTTCAGGAATTATGATAGAATAAACATTGAAGTTGGCAATTTGATAGCTTTCTAAGCTAATAGAGCCAGATGAAAAATAAGTGTGCATTTTCTGATATCCAAGTAATCAATTATACCAGTTACCTTGTTGCTGCTGCTGGTCTGCAAATCTTGTGGAGCTTTTCCCTGGGAATACTTGATATTTATGCTCTTCTCGTGGGGCGCAGTTTACAAAATCAGCGTGTTGTTTGCTTATTTGCTGTTGGTGATGGGGTAAGTTTCCAGTTGCTTTGATCAGGAGTGAGCCAAATAATTTATCGAGCCAGTATTACTTCCTAGAAATTCCATTATCCTGCTACTTAGGCTATGTTTGGCATGCTATAAGCTACTCCATAGTTTAAAGGTTATTTATTAGGTTTTTGTGAAGGGTTTTTTCCAATGTTCTAAAAGACGCTAGGCGTCAGTCGGGCGCCAGCCCAGCGCCTAGCGCCTAGGGGCTAGGCGGGCGCCTAGGCGGGGACTAGTTGGAGACATAGAAATTATAGTTTTATCAATATTTTTTGCATAAATATGATTAGTAATGTTGTGTTTTTAACTTTTTATATATAAAAACATATACACACATACACATTAACATGCATGAATGATAGAGTTGTCACATTTAATAATATATCATACCTATTCACTTACCTTCATTATGTAATACTCCGTAAATATTATCAATAATAATAACACTTAAGATTATATATAAACGTGTATACTTTTATCTTAATTAATCTACAACTAGTAATTTTAATTGATTTCTTCATATGTGTTGTTACATGTACATTTATCTCTTAGAATACTAAAATAAAAAAGAAAGAGAAAATGTGCGAAGATCCTAGACGCCTAGGCGGCCAATTAAGCGCTCTGAGCGGACAACTAGGTGCCCTAGGCAGCCGACTAATTCACCTAGGCGCCAAATCAATTAGTTGGAACGCCTAGATAAAAATCAGAGTGCCCGACCACCGCCTAGCGCCTAGGCGGGGACTAGTCGGGTGCCTAGACCGATTTTTAGAACAATGGTTTTTTCTATATGCTTAGCTTTTTTCATGGACTTATTTGATAATGTGGAGCTTATTTAATAAGCCTTTTGGAATACGTTTTCAAATGAATTGATAAACTTTTCATTTATAGCTCCAGGTTTACCTCGTTTTTATATTAAAATATCTTAAAACATATCCTCTTATGTCATTGTCTAAAATAGTGAAAAACCACGTAGTATATGAGAACCCTTAGATTTTCAGCTAAAAGTTAAAGACTTAAACTTTCTTATTAACCTAATAACACAACACCTTTGCTGATTGCTGATGGTGTTTAGTCAATTATTTACTGGAAGGTGTTGAGTATTGACCTTTGGAACACTATTAACTGATAAGTGTTAACCTAACAGATGATTAATTAGATCTGCTGCCTTACAGAAGATTTACTACAACATAGCTGGTTTCATCTGTATTATTTATACAGGGGGTGTACAGCTCTTATACCTCAAGGGAATCTCTCCCAGTTATCATACATGGAGTATATGATATACTACGTACCTGTATAAGATAGCCATGATATATTTGCTGCATAGGTGTAGATTTTCTGTTTAAAGTCTGACTGTAAATGTATATCATTCAACTGTTATTAGTTTTAATAAAAGTACACATGAGCACTTCACACGAATCCACATTTTTGGGCGTGATGAAAGTCAAGAATATCAATTATAAGTATAGTCATTTTAAAAATAAATGACATGATATGATTTTCATTAAAGGTGATGATTGTAATGTATCAAGAACTATTGAGTATGATATTTTTATCTTGTAGGCTGAGCCTGTTCCCTTAGGCTCTCTAGTCAAGGGATCAATAGATGGTCTAAGTTATCGAAGATGTAAATAACTTGATATAGTTATTTGTTGTATTTGAAATTATTCGTCATTGGAACCTGAGGATGTAATTGGATGTATATTCATTAAATGTATTTATGTATAATTGTATACTTTATATGTTAATTCAACTCATAAAGTGAAAAGATACGTGTTTGGTATCAAAAAATGGCAGATAAGCCAAAAACCATGTTACCAAACGGGGGCACTAATTGAGAACATGTATTGCCCCTTGCTTATTTTCTCTCTACCAGCCATTCGTCTATTTTGTCATACCAAACACCCCCTTGTGAAAATGGGGCATTGAATCAAATTTGGTTATTGCAATGCTTTCATCAGTTGTTCTGCTCTGATTTAGGCTACTAGGCATGCTGTATTCTCCATTGTTATACATATTGAGCACATGCTTCTTTTTTATTTTGTAGCTTATCTCTACCCTAATGTTTGCCGCTGCATGTGCTTCGGCTGGTATCACTGTGCTTATTGGAAATGATCTTGGCGTCTGCTCACAAAATCACTGCACGGAGTTTGAGACTTCCACAGCCATGACTTTTCTTAGCTGGTTTGCAGCTTTGCCGTCTTTCCTTCTGAACTTTTGGTCTCTGGCATCCAGGTCCAGATATGTGCAAAACTAATGCAAGAAATATATATATTTAAATCAGGCAATATATTTTTCGTTGGTTTACTTTTTTTTAAGATCTTGCAATCTGAATTGCAAAAGGCTTATATATTTTCGTCCCTGCAAATATAGTGTTTAAGTCCATGTAAAACAAATTGTTATTCATATCTATATTTTATGTTGTTTTCCTTTTAAAGTAAAACTGATGGGAAGGCCAGAATTGAATTCTGTGAGTCAGTGTGCCTTTTTTTGAAAGGTTGGACGAAAAAAACCACATAGGTTATGGTATGAATAACAAAAAAAATCTTCAGGAAGCTAAAACTAAAAGCATTTTATTTGGAGTTTTGCTTGGTGTACCCCATTTTGGGATACCCCATTTGTACACCACCAATTGTGTGGTTCACAAAAGCCCAAACATTAAATTAATTGCCCCATTTTAATGAATTGCTTTTTGTGAACCAGACATGTAGGGGGGTTCAAATGGCGTACCCCAAAATGGGGTACCTCTAGTATTTTTCTTTTATTTGAAACTGGCAAAAACATATTTAAGTCATTGCAAAACACCATAATACAAGTCATGTGTATGTACAAGCTTGGGATTTTTGTTTTATATTTTTATCATTATGCTGAATGTCATACCCTTCAAGTTATAGCAGAGCTTCTATAGATCATTGTGATATACAATGTGTAATTGGTCTTACAGTTTTGGTGATTGGTTTTGTTGAATGCTACCTTTGCTTCAGATGTTCAGTTTTCTTTTCAAACTATTCTCCATTGGGTTTTAGCCGATAATCTTGACTTAAATGGTTATCTAACATTCTAAACACAGATTCATTGATAGGGATCGTGAGAGTAGTCAGCATTCTTCTTAAAAACGTGATATGGAAGGGTTGGTTCAAGGAATATCTGTTCACTCGTGGTAGACCCGTTGTCTCTTTTGAGACGGGGCAGCCATTGGGTTATCCGCTGTCTTGGCCTCTGTAACTAAGAAAAGTCTAACACCTAGATAGGGATTTGGCTTGTTCTTTTGCATGCTTCTGAAAAGCAGACCGGGTGGTTAGACCCATTAAACCAAGAAGTGGATTTCAGACAGATGATTCGTGAGTACTGTAATTCAAAACCCCTGAGTTGAACTGAAAAAGATGCAAAAACGGCCAATTTGGCCAGAGTGGTTCCGGATTTCAAACCAAGCATGTAAATTGTGCGGACCATGACCGCACTAAACTGGCCCAACCCAAGAATGTCTCCCATTCTTCTGAGATCAGACCAAGTTGGTTCTAGTTTTCAGTCCCGGTATGTTAAACTCGACAGAAACCGATATTCAAAACTAGAATGGGACTGGGACTGTAAGCTGAGGCGTACTCGAGTATATGGTACCGGTGATTGCCTCTGGAAATCATAAAATGAATGGTTCTAGAATACATTTGTCAATGCGTTGGATTCAGGTCGGAATATAGTGTTCTAGACTCGGACTTGAATAGGTGTTTCAGATCTAGACGGTTTCAAAAATGGATCACATAGACCATCTAAATTGAGTCTCATATAATTAGGACTTGATAACTACTACGTAGTATTAATTTATACGATAAATAAATTGTACTCGTTGGACTAGACCTCAATCAAATACTTCAAAGTTCAAACAAAACTTAGCAAACTTGGCAATATGCCAATATCTATATAAGGAACGCCATGTTGCCATGGCTCAACCCATCAAAATCGTTCTCCAGAAAAGATGAAAGATGATGTCTTAATAACGGTTGTCCAAATAACCTCTTTCAAATTACTCGTTACAGTCATTTGTGTTTGTAATCCTTCTGTTCAATAATAACATCTTTATTTTGGTGGATTTATGTATGTATGTATGTGTATGTGTATTTTTGCATGTATAACTTTTATTAAATATAGATTTGTACATTGATCGGATCCTAAGAGCATCCGCAATGCGGACTGTCTAGTCCAGGGGTGGACTCGGGCCGGTTCGGGCCTGGGCCCGGCCGGGCCTCGGTTCTGTTTTGTTGGGCCCGAGCCCGAACCGGTAGCCACCGGGTCCGGTTCCGGGCCGGGCCGGGCCGGGCCACCCGGTTTTTTTTTTTTTTGGCTTCTCCTATTTAACCCCCAACCCACCCCCAAACCACCCCAAACCACCTCAAATGGCCCAAAATACCCAGCCCAACCCAAAAACTTAAAAAAAATTCAAAAAAAAATTAAATTCGGCCCGGACCCGAACCGGCCGGGCCGGTTCACCAAATGGAGGGCCCGAGCCCGGAACCGAACCCCACCGGGCCGGATTGACCCGAACCTCCCCTGGGCAGGGCCACCGGTTCGATCCGGTTCAAACAGTGACCGGGCCGGTTCCGGGTCGGGCCGCCCGGCCCGAGTCCACCCCTAGTCTAGTCTAAGAAATATTAAGCTACCTCATCAAAGTAGACGTTGTGCATTTAATATGCATTCCCATGCATCTACTCCTTAATTTCATTTTGCTGAGTTGGCCAAAAAAATGTTCGACACTGTGAAGGGACCTGTGTGAATGTAAAGACTTCTCCACAGGCCGATTCATTAAATTTTCTCCGATAAAATTGCACGACATCAAAATTTTATAATATTACTTTTTCCAAATTGTTGAAGATTGAAGGAGTTAACTTTGTACGTTCGAAGGTTGGCTTTTAACTATTCAAGAATGTGGCACATGTCAAATTTTAATTTCCTCTGTTTTAGGGAAGAAAGAAGCCGATTCCAAGAGTTATGGTCGAACTCTATGGATTTGCTTCCCTTTCTCTTGCGGAACAGGTGCGTGTTGCCGCTGAGCTTGAACTCATGCCACTTCTCAAATTGCCACTTCTCAATCATAGGAATTAGAAAAAAATCCCTATTTTCTCCTTGATCGCATGAAGAAGCAAAACATATATTACTTCGTATAAATTACATGGTCATAAATTGGGCCTTGGACGTTTTGCACTAGAGGCTCCATTTGTATGTCCGTGTCTACTCACTACACTACATAACATGTGTATTGAAGCCTTTTTAGTAACTATACATTTGGCAATGCTAATTTAGACTATAAATCCTAACGTTGTGGATGCTCTAAACGTGTCTGATGGATAGTCTACCCGGGGGGGTCTCTTATCCGGGGGGTTATTGCGGGAATAATTTAGAGAGAAGTCGGAGTAAATAGGAGGAGAGAGAGTCGATTTTATTAAATGAACTCAGCGTGGTTTACAAGGAGAATAAGGGCTGCTATTTATAGCAGCAATAAATGCGATGAGAGGACACGTGTCAGTAATCCAACGGCCGAAGGGTCACATCAGCCGGTTGGCACCGGCAGTGGTACGTCCACCGCATTGAATGCGGTTGGCGGATGTGACGTGGTATTAAATGCGGTGGTTGGCTGTCTCTAAAAGGAATCTTCGATGATTGAGCTAATTCAGCCGAAGGCTCCCGGAGTAGCCGAGGGCTCCTTGTGCAGCCGAGGGCTCCTTGTATAGTCGAGGGCTCTTTGTATAGCCGAGGGCTCCGTGTAGCCGAAGGCTTTGTTCAGCCGAAGGCTTCTCTGATGCCGAGGGCTTGATAATGCCGAAGGCTCATGTTTTTCGCCGTTTTCTCCCAGTAGCTTCTTATGCTAGAGAGGGCTATCCTGTGAGTTTTGGAGCCTTCGGCCAAGGAGGCCGAAGGCACCCCAGTGTGTATTCTGGGCTACTTTGAGGCTCGGGCCGTTGCATTTGGGCCTGAGTTGTTCTCTGGGCTCAATGGACTTGTGTAGGAGAAGTAGGAGTCTATGGGCCGGGGGTTCCTGGGCCATATACTCCATCAGGAGTCCCTCACTCCTTTTGCCGAAAGGTACTTGAGGGAAAAGGAGTAGTTGTGTTGATTCTTCTGGAGGCTTCACCGTTTGGTTGGGCGCCCTTGCTTGAGAACTTGCCTTCTGCTGATTGCCGAAGGCTTCCCTCAGTCCCTCACATGTCGAGGGTTTTCTGAGGGAAGTATAACACCTGTATGACTGCCGAAGGCGTTCCACTTTGATGTTTGTCCGGAGGCTGTATGCGTCAATTGTAAATTGTTGTATGAGGAAAATTTTTTGTTCTGTACGATTCCCGAGGGGTGTATCCCAGTCCCCCACTCCTTTAGGCCGAGGGCGAGTTCGGGCTGAAGGAGTTATGATGAGTTGTTGAGCCCCCGAGGGGTGGTAACATTGATAAGCCGAAGGCTTATGATGCTATATGTTCGAGGACATTTGGTGGAATCTGTTGTCTGAGGGCTGCGGAGAGTGATGACCGGAGGCTATCATTCGAGGGCACCCCAGTGTTGCCGAAATATAGTCGTTGTAATATAGCCGTTGGAGGAGGGGTTGACGTGGCGTGTCCTCGTTGGTCGAAGGTGGGCGGGTGCCACCCATTGGTTGAGGCGAAGGTTTGTAATGATGGGTTTTTCCAATCGAGGCCCATCTATCGAGGCCCAGAGTCTATAAATACCCCTGGGCGGAGCTCATTTCCTTTACGCATTCCTTCTCTCTAGCGAAGCTCTGCCAAAATTTCTAGTGAGAGAAAGATCTTTTTTCGATCAAAGCTAACTTCCCGAGGTCAGTTCTTGCTCTGTTCTTGAGTTTCTCTGTATACTTTGCTTTCCGGCTTTAGATTTAGCGTTAGCGTTTTCAGTAGCCTTCGGCGAGAGCATTAAGTAGCTTTCCTCTTCTAGACACCTTTCCCTTAGCACAAAAATGTCTTCGCAAACCGACTCTCAGAACATCTCGAGGGAGGCCCCGGTGCAATCTGAAAGCATTTCTGAGGTGGAGTCCTCAAGCGAGTGGCCTTCGAATATTGACGACTCGCAAGTGGCTGCCGAAGTCCAAAAGCGTCTCATAACCGAGGCCGAAGCCGAGGAGTTTGAGCAAGTGATTGAGGACGAGGAGATGGCCCTCGCGGTCCAAATTGCCGAGGAGGAAGAAGAGAAGGAGAGGATGGAAGTGACCATCGCCGTTCCTCCCCCTCATAACGACGCCGGAGCGGGGAGTTCTAGGCCCCTGGATCCGGAGCCTCTCAATGTGGCTCCCGGGAAGAAGAAGAAGAAGGTGAGGGCGGCCTTGAAGAAGAAGAAAGCCGCCGTTGATGTGGGACAACCCGTAGGGATTCCTGAAGGCCACTCTTACTTGAACACGGCTGCGCTCGAACTGAAGACGAGGGGCACCCACACGGAGTACATGGCAACTCAGTTTTTTGCCGGGCCCTCGGCACAGGTGGTGGAGCCGGGGCCAGATGATGTGCTTCTTCGCCCCCCCCGAAGGCTGTTTTGCGGTGCACATGTTGTCGGTCGAGTTGGGCCTCCGGTTCCCACTCCACCCCTTCGTACTGGAGTATCTCCGCTTCGTTAAGCTTGCTCCTTGTCAGATTACTCCGAATAGCCACTCTTATCTGTCGGGTTTTCTGTCGCTGTGCCGGGAGAGGAGAGTGGAGGCTTCGCTAGATCAGTTTCTTCTTTCTTTCAACCTCTGCCGGGGGGGGGGCATGCCAACAGCGAGGGCTTCGCCAACCTGCAACAGATTCCGGAGTGGAGGCTGTTCTCTGAGGTTCCTTCCTCCCACAAAGGTTGGAAGGACAAATTCTGCTTCATTCGGATGGAGGAGAATCCTTTCCCTGCTCCCCTTCGTGACAACTTTAAGAGGCACCCTAAAGTGGGGAATGCTTTTCTTGCGAAGGAGGGGAAGAAGCTGGTAGCCAAGCCGGAGGGCTCGGACAAGCAGAAGTCCATCAAG